AGGAAACAGCTAGCTTCACCAGTGAAAGCTGAAGATGAGTCGAGAAAGGAAGACGTACATCTCCAAGCTTTCAAGGACATGAATCTAGAGCCAAGACAGATTTTGTGCCAATCTAAGCATTATAGAAATATGTTGTATATGGCATTTCCCATGGTGCTGAATGCAAAACCGTCTCAAAAATAATATACAAATGCTAGTTGCCCCTTGTAAATAAACACACAAAAGATGCCATATAAGAACAACAACAACAACATAATCCAACAAGATCAGTATAAGCAATTTCTGACACACTGGCAACTGGACAAACATGGAATCAACCAATATTTTTATAAGTCCCCAGAAATTACCTGATCATATGGAAACTGAGTGGTTATTTACAAGCTGGTATTCTACTCTCTACCTAAAAATCCCTGAAAAAGGACACCATAGGTCAGAAGTGACTTGATGGCCCAGACCTATTAATTATAAATCAAAAACCTGGTGAATTATTTTTTTTGTATTTATTTATTTGGCTTCTATACTGCTCATCTGGCTACTAGATTTGGCTTCTATACTGCCCATCTGGCTACTAAACCACAGTTAGACAAATAAAACATACACTATACCAACAAATAACGTAATGATACAAAATCAAAGTAAAGATAAAACAACCAATAATTTAAATAAAATAGTTAAAAATAATATAAAAATAATGTAATAAATAGCAAGACAGTAGGATTGATAGTCTAAATGTTGAGACCAGTCACTGTAGTTAGATGTTGTAAATAAGATGTTGTAAGGTCCAGGAAGGCCTGCCAGAGAAGCCACATTTTCAACAGTCACTTTAAAATTCCCACTGAAGAGGCCAGGCGGATTTCGAGCAGGAGTTTGTTCCAGAGCTGAGGAGCAACCGTTGAGAAGGCCCGGTTTCTGGTTCTCTCTTTCTGGGCCTCTATCAGGGTCAAAACTCTCAACTGCCCAGCCTGGGATGATTGGATGTGATGGGCAGATCTCGTTGGGAGGAGGTGTTCTGTCAGGTATCGAGTCCCTAAACCATTTAGGGCTTTGTAAGTTAATACCATCACCTTGAAGCTGACATGGAAATGGACAGGTAACCAGTGCAGGATAAATGTGTTGATATTTCTTAACACCACTCAGTAATCTGGCCATCGTGCTCCGGACCTGCTGAAGTTTCCGTAACAGCCTCATGGGCAGCCCCACCATTACAGTAGTCTACTGTCAACACTACCAGTGCATGAACTAGCATGGTGAGGGACCCGGTGTCAAGGTAGGGACGCAGCTGGGCAATCTACCTTAGGTGGAAGTAAGCAGAACAGACCACAGATGCTATCTGAGGTTCCATTGACAACGCTGGGTCCATCAGTACATCCAAGCGACAAACCTCATCCTTAGCAGAGAAAGTAGCCCCCTCCCCAAAGAGAGTGAAACACCCAATCCACAAACACTAGGGGCCTCCACCCACAGGCTCTCCATCTTGCCCAGGTTCAGCCTCAATCTATTATCCTTCATCCACCATAGCACAGCATCCAGGCGGCACTCAAGAGGCAAGATGGCATCCATTGCAGAAGAATGGAAGGAGAGATAGAACCGCACGTCATCCTCATATTGGTGACACAAAGCTCCAAAGCTCCTGATGACCTCCCACAGTGGCCTCATATAGCTATTAAATAGTATTGGGGAGATGATTGACCCCTGTGGGTCTCCACAATTAAGAGTCCATGGAGTGGAATCTCCCCAAGCTGAACTCTCTGGAGCCAGTCCCCGATGTAGGACTGAATCCAGGGCAAGGCCTGACCCCACAATCCCTAACCCTGAGAGCTTCCCCAGGAGGCTACCATGATCAATGGTATTGAAGGCGCTGATAGGTCCAGGAGGTCCAGCACAGCATTTTGCCCCTGTCAGTCTCCCTCAAAAGGTCATCTTGCAGGGTGACCAATGCCATCTCTGTGCCATGGCATGGCCTGAAGCCGGACTGGAATGGATCAAGGGCATCGGTCTCCTCCAGGAGTGCCTGAGGCACTTAACAGGAGAGACTGAGGCTGCATGCATTTGTCCCATATCTATCTAGGACCTACTTCTCACTGAATTGTGAACTAATTTCAGAACAGATACATGTAGGATGAAACATACTTATATGAGAAAAAAGAAGCTCCTCAAGCAATTCATCAGAATTAAAAATAATTATAACTCTGTCCTTAGAAAAATTAACAGCAGTAGCATATGGATTCCACTGGACACAGCAGATGTAGGAAGGCCTTGAACACATCTTTTTTGAAATCCAGAGACGTTCAAACTGAGCTAAGCTGAACCTCTCTAGCCTTCTAGAAAAGACTTCCACCCGCAATTTAGGGATGAATTCTCCTCACCTGAAAATGTTTCCTACTATTTCTACAAATGAAAATAGCCTCCCCTTTCTCTAAGTATCCACTAGATGCCTTCCCCTTGAAGAGATTATATTGTTAGCAAAACAGCACCACAAATGTATCATTGATGTTAATCTATGGAACATCAATGGGTCAGAAATATTTTTACATATTATTTATTTTTATTCGTATTTTATTTTAAGTATTTTTACCCTGCCTTTCTCCTGAAAAAGGACCCAAGGTGCTTTACATCATTAAAAGACAACATTTAAAAGTTTAGAACAGTAAGTATACAAATATTTAAAAAGAATTAAATACCACATTAAACCAGTAAACAAAATCCACACCAAAAACACATCCAAAGCAACAAGGCCCAACAATGCATTTAAAAAGCCCTCTCAGATAGTCAGTCACTAAAGGGAAACCCTGCCTGAAGAGAAAGGATTTTGTCCATTTGTGGAAGGACTGCAAAATGGGGCCAGTCTTGCCTCCAAAGGGAGAGAATTCCAGAGTCTGAGAGCAGCGACAAAGAAGGTCCTCTCCACGTCCCCACCAAACGAAGTTGTGAAGGTGGTGGGACTGTCAGAAAAGCCATCCCTGATTATCTCAAAGCCCCTGGCAGGCTCATAAAGGGAGGTGCAGTCCTTGAGAGAGTTTGGACCCAGCACTTTGAATTGTGCCTGAACACAAACTGACAGTCAGTGGAGCTGCTTGTAAAGGGGGGTGGGGTTATGTGATCCCTGTAACTAGCCCCAGTTAACACTCTGGCTGCAAATCTTGGACCCAGCACTTTGAATTGTGCCTGAATACAAACTGACAGTCAGTGGAGCTGCTGTAAAGGGGGGTGGGATTATGTGATCCCCATAACTAGCCCCAGTTAACGCTCTGGCTGCAAATCCTGGACCTGCTGAAGTTTCCAAACACTTTCCAAAGGCAGCCCCATGTAGAGCATTTTACAGTAATCCAGTCAAGCTGTAATTAAAGCATGTGTCTTCACGGCGAGCTCAGACATCTTCAGGAATTGGAGAGTATAAATGGAAAGAAAAAGAAAACCACTCTAATGTTCTCAAACAACTTAATGGGCCTGGGAAAAGAAAGCAAAATAAAGAGCAACTGGCTCATCGCCCCTCTGTTCCACCTTAAAAATGATGATTCAAACACACTTGGCTGATATTTGGCACTACATGCAGGGCTTCTCAAAGGTTTTTAGCTTACCTGTTTCTGGCAAACACTACAAAGTTCCCTCATATACTTTTTGGGCTTTTCCAAGCAACATTCACCCCAGGGTATTACATATACCACATGGGAAAAACTTAGTGATATATGGTAAGGCCATCTTGTACAATAGTATAAAGAAACTGAGATTTTGGCAGGTTTTCCCCCCTTGGGCTGGTGTAACAAGAGGGAGGAGGGGGACCCATTTCAGGACATCATTAGTGATAACAAGCCGAAGGGTTGTTGTTGTTTTTAAAGGTAATATGAGACATAGAAGAGAGAGGGTAGAAATCAAATAACCTAGCGGATTAAAAACCCCATACAAAGGAAGCAGATAAAAGAAGTTTGTTGAGAGCTAAATATTCACTCACACAGTCTTTCCTATACGCGACACTATTCAACAGACAACAAACGAGACATCCTCGTTCCTCTGAAAAACCTCTACTCTCACATTAAAAATTATTGTCTGACTCCCATGAACTGCCAAAGCTCTGACATTTCCTGTATCCTGCATTTATTTATTCAGCAATAGCTTCCCACGTACTAATTTTAAAATATTGTATACCTTTTGTTTAGAAACATTGTAAAAGGGCAGAAGAATGTCCTACAACGTAACAGTACCAACATGGATCAGCTGAAGCATGTTAAACCGTGGACTGTGCACAATATAGTGCTTTGATTGTTCACGTGCATCCTTTAAATTATATGAACTAGAGCAGTAGTTCTCAGTCAACTCCATACTGTGCCTCCCAGGAGGAGAGCCAGCTTGTGTGGTCTTGGGCATCATCATCATCATCATTATCATTAGCAGCAGCAGCAGCAACCATGCTGGAAGTCAGAATCAAAAACACCTAAGGACCCAGGGTCTGAAACCATTGTCCAAGAGTCAAAATGCATCCCCCCCTCAACAGACACACAGAAATTCAGATTCTAAAAGTCCTGGGGATGGGGTTGAGTGACAACAAAGTTAGACACTCACCTGAAACCTTTTAAAAGACAACAGGGAGCATAATTTACCAGGCACCCGGAAAAGTGAGGCTTTATGATAAGTGCATATCCTACCTGTACAGAAAAAAACCCTCCAAAACTGAAAGCTAACTTTCCTGGTGATGGAGGGGAAGAAATTGAAGGAGGGAGGACAGTGTGATTTTGAAACCTATCAGTAAAACAAACTTATTGTGGAATCAAAATAATAAAATTCCAGCATGCAACTGCCAGTAAGGAACAAAAATGCCGAAGGACTATGGGGTCTGCGGCTCTTTTAGAGATCTCTGTGATGGGGCAAAGGAAGAATCAATCCATTAAGTGACAAGGGAGCATTGGCATCATCCATTAACAATACGAGCAACAATGCATATTAGAACCTATCCTAACCGCTCCTCCCAATCCAACCTTTTCAAGATAAAACGAATGAGCACTCACGTAAGTAGGCTGGGAGTCTGATGGCGTCTTCCTCCATCCTGATTGCTCGAGACACTGGGACATGAAGCGGTGACGAGGAAGTATAGTCTGGTACCGGGCTCACTGGAGGGGTGTATGAAATTCTTTCTTGCTGTGAAAGGAAAGGAAAAAGAGAAAAGTCTATGTGAACTTTGTTGCTGGGAAGGAGAAAAATAAGTAAGAGACCTGAAGAAGTGGAATCCTAGAATGAGATACAGTCCTAGAAGGAGAGACTTCCAGGTCAGAAACCAATCAGTCAGGTACTGGAAAAGAGAAAGGGTAAGAACAAATAGCACTGGAACTCATGAAGCCACTGAATTAAGCCAAAGGGACATCTAGCTCCTGATGTGCACAGAGGCAAAAAGAAAGTCCAATGCTGTAAGATGCTTATAACAGGAAAAAGGAATGAGAAGTATGAACCAAGACAAACTCAAAACTGTAAAGCAATTTTTTTTTAATATTTAAACACTGTAATTGTGAACAAACTGCAGTAGACTAGAGCAGGTCACTTGCAATCAGATAATTACAAACTGTTTTACTCTATAAATGACAAACTTGGCATATCAACAGTGTGGTTTTAATAGTGAAGTGAGACACAGCAGAAGCCATTAATATCAGACCTGAAGGAAAGATTATTAATGTAATCACCATTCAAGCTTTTGCTCCAGAAGATGTGTCCAGGAGAAAACCAATAATGTACCAAAACATGAGTGGAACTCTAAAGTATAAAATAAAGCAGAACCAAATACTGTTGGAAAAATTATGATGTTTTATCTCCTTGCCTGATTAACCTATATCAATCCAACTGGTAATTGCCAAAAAGAAATTAAAGAAAGACTAATTAGAGCCCTGATGAAAGAACTAGGAGGGATCCTCAAGAGTAAGGATATGTTGCTGGAGACTAAGGCCAAAATTCTCCATACTAGTGTCATCCCTTCCTACCCAAATAAAGGGCACAGGAATCAGGGATAATTTGTTCTGTACTCTTTCGGACACATCCCATTCCATTCAGTCCTACTGAAATCAGCGAAACATATCCCTAGACAAATTCATCTGATGAGGTATCAGTCCTAACAATCATCCCCTCCACAAACTACATATAGCGTACTGTATTTTTCCATTTATAACACATACACCCATTTATAAGATGCTCCCCCCCAATTTTCTAACCCCCAAATTAAGAAAACTTATCTTCTGGGCTCAAAACGTCAGACATTAAAAGTTCCTGTCAAATCTGAGCCTACAGGCTCCATCTCCAAAGAAGTGTGTTTCAATTGATTTGCACAGCATCAGCTGACGTCAGTTCCATAAGGCTCATGAATGGAGGAAGCTAAGTCTCCTAATTGTAGGAAGCTAAGCCTCATGACTGAAGGAAGCCTGTTTACAGAGGCAAGGTATGTACCATTTTGTTCTCTCCTCAGCTATCTCAGCTTACTTCTGTGTAAAAGACGCCCCTCAATTTTTTGTGTAATGATTTTAGGAAAAAGTGGTGTTTTATACACAGAAAAATAAGGTACATGGTACTGCAACCTCAGTATCCAAATGATTTCTTCCATTGAAAGGTGGGTGTATTGTATATTAAACTTCCACGCTAAAATGCCAGGAAATTGAGTCATTTAAAAAAATAACCCCTCTGGTTTATAACTATGAAGTATTATTTCAATGTCCACAATTCAAAATGCCTGAACTGATCCAACATTGCCTCCCAGTATTGTGCCCATGTTTCCAGCAGGAAAAAGCATGTCAAGCAAAGACCAGCCTGAATATTGATGACACCAGTCTCAGAAGTCAAGATGGTGCACAGGATCCCATATTGTGCTCACTACTATTCACAAAGAGAAACTAAACAATGGAAGATCCCAGAAGCTGCTCCTTTTTAAAATCATTTGACCACTTCTCGTCCGAACACAAAGCAACTGTGGCTATTTTTTTAAAGAGTTATCTAGGTTTTTATACTGGTCACTGGCATTTCCTGACTTTGGCTACAAACTATATAAAAAATAAGAATTTCTTGAGTATATTAGCCCTGATATATTTGGTAATGGACTATGGATCATTCACGGAGGATACCTGTTTTTACAGACAGTGGACTCCTAAATCTGGGAAAAGATACCAAATGTGAAGAAGTGCCACAGAATAATTTCCACAGCTCTTTCTCTGTAGGGAATTAAACACAGGTGGCACATGCAAGCCTACCTAGCTATCCTAATGTGCTTTTCCATTGGGAAAATAAGGATGATTGGCCAATATAAATTCTTGCTTTAGCAACACGTTTCTTGGATATCCTTGACAAAGTGATGGAGCTTCCTATAATGGTATAATTAACATAACAACTAAACATAGTATTGTTGCTGATACAGTGGTGCCTCGACTTACAAACGTCCCGACATACAACCATTTGGAGTTACAACCAGCTCCGGCCGCAAAATTTTTGCTTCGACTTGCAGCCACAGCTTCCAGTTACAAACAGAAAAAGGCAGGGGGGAAAGGTGGGGAATTCAAATTGCTAACCGTTGACAGGCGAAGAAGCTGCTTCTTTGTAGCTCTTTCGCCCCAATGGTTAGAGTGAGTGTGATCAGAGGAGGCTTAGGACTGCCTGGTAAGGTTAGGTGATGCTTTCTGCTTTTAAAAACTGTTCTGGGTGCGTTTTGCAGCACGATTTTGGGCTGGGTGGTGGGATTATGTTTCTATGCTGTGATGGGTCTTGCAGGGTTTGTTTGTTTTGGGGTCCCCCCCATTTCTGAAGGGTCTTGTGGGGTTTGTTTGTTCCCCCCCATTTCCAATGGGTCGTGCATGGTTTGTTTGCTTTCTGCTTTGCTTTTTTGTGTTAATCCTATTAGACCTTTTGCACATACTCCCTGTCAAACCCATAAACTTCCTTAGTATAGCTATGTGCACACTCCATGTTACTTTGTTTCCTTGACCACAACTAATGTTCAGCCCACCCTTCTTCACCTACCTACCTACCTGCTACATTTTATTTATTTTTATACATACATACAGAGAGACGCACAGACCTCACCATCACTGCTTCCTTTTCAATTCCTATCATTTATGTCTAATGAAATGGCAGGGCTGAAAACATTTGTTTTTAGACTACAATGTCCACGCAGGCTATGAGACTCTTGGAAACTGTACTCCAAAAATATGTTTCCAAGTTCTAGGTAAAGAGGGCATAACAGTGAGCCAGAAAGCATTTCATTTCTTCCATCTCTCCAGCAGGACTGTGAACTGCGCTACAGCAAACTTAGAATATTCTTAGGTTTTTGCATAGCTTAGTTTCCAAATGTTTCAGTCTCACATCCTCCTTTCAATTTCTGAAGAGCCCCATGTCTTCCCACCTCTCCTTTGCCATGATCCAACACCCGATTTGCAAAAAAAGGCATAGAATCTAAAACTAAAAATAAGCACAAAACCTTATTTAAGAAAAAACTGAGTCAGAAGACAGTTGGCTCAATGGTTAGGATGCTGAATTCAGGTCTAGGAAATCTGCACACAATTGTTCACTGAGTCACAAGATTCAAAGGGTGATCAGTTGTCCTCTCTCAGCCTGACCCCACCTCACAGAGCTGTTGTGAGGGTGAAGTGGGGAGTAAGAGAACCACATGTGCTGCCTTAGGCTGAGTGGAGGAAAAGCAGAAGATAAATAAACAAACAAACTAGCAAATGAACTGTAGAGGTCTGCACAAAAAGGATGCTTCATTTCTCTTGTGAGTTGAGTCCATATGCAGGACATACATGTTTTTGAACAGCCAGTATTAATATAAATGTAACTGTCTGCACATTCGACATTTAAATTCTCTCTGAACTCAGTGTCAACTATCCCACATCCAACCATGCATACTACCTACACATCTGAAATTCCAAGTCATGCATCTGTCAAAATGGGTGACATACAAAGAGCTGGATTTTCAACACCTGGAGAGTTTGATGCCAATGCTTACTCCTGAATAATGCAGTTCCTTTTATTTCCGAAATGATATGCACAAGTTAGATTTTTACACTCTTCACTGTTTCTTCTGAGTAGTGCTGCATGTACGAAAGAGGCTTTAGGAATGCTTTCTTGATGTGTTTTTTTCCTATGAAATAGCTTTGAAATCCTGTGCCTTTTACTCACTGATGAGTTTTCTGAGCAACTGAGCTACCTTTTTCAACAGTAGAACCTGGCTGCATTTTAAGAACACATTCTAAGGCACATCCTGGAGCACTAAGCAACACTATGGCCTGAACAAAGGAAAGGATCTAGAGAAGAAAGAAGCATCAAATACTTAGAGCTTCCCTTCCCCTCCCCCTCCAATTTCTGCTTTCCTTAACACAGTCTTTGGTCATTTTTTTATGCTGCTCATACAGCTATTTACCTCAGATGCTATCATACACCCAATTAAAACACTTCTAGAATCTCAAGACACAAAGGGAAACACGGTCCTTTGGAAGGGACTCCTATGCAAAACAGCATTCGGAAAAAGATTAGCATCTCATTTCCTGAGCACAGGGAGCCAAGATTGTTTTATTGACCTTAGTGATTTCATAGAGTTCATTTCCTCCCCCTCCACCCTTTGGGTAGAATTTGAATCTCAAAACACCAGGGCAGGAGAAACTCATATCTCTTTCCCTACTAGGACGAATTTCTCCAGGCAAATGAGAACTACCGAGGTTCTACAGTTCATTCAGTGCAAGAAAAAGGATGAATATTATATATTCGCGAAGGCTTTCACGGCTGGGATCTGATGGTTGTTGTGGGTTTTTCGGGCGCTTTGACCGTGTTCTGAAGGTTGTCCTTCCTAACGTTTCGGCAGTCTCTGTGGCTAGCATCTTCAGAGGACAGGACTAGCATTCTGTGCTCTGGTGCAGTTTGTTTGGGAGTTGAGTATTTATAGCTGTTGGATCAGCTTTTGTGCTTTTCAGGAGGAAATGTAATGATGTTCAGCTACTGCCAGATATACATTGGAACCACAAAACAAAGCATCCACACCAGAATCAAAGAACGTGAGAGACACTGCAGACTAAAACAATCAGAAAAATCAGCAGTAGCTGAACATGCCCTAAAACAAGCTGGACATGAAATTCTATTTCAAAATACTGAAATACTGGACAACACCAGCAATCATTACA